TCGGGAGGAGGAATCACAGAGGGGGTTGTTTCTTTGGAGTGGAGGTGAGGATGGCACATCTCAGGGGACACGGGAGATGGGGATGGGATGTTGGGAAGGAATTCCTCCTGGGAGGGTGATGAGGAGCTGGGATGGATCTCCCAGAGCAGCTCGAGCTGCTTCATCCCAGGAAGGTATGATCTGGTGGGAAGGGAGGTGGGATCATGGGATGGGTTGGGCTGGAAGGAGCTCAAAGCTCATCCAGTTCCACCCAGGGACACTTTCCACCAGCCCAGGTGGCTCCAAACCTCATCTCACCTGGCCTGGGACACTTCCAGGGATGGAACATCCTCTGGGAATTCCATCTTGGCCCCTCAGACCAATTCCCTTCACCCTCTTCAGGTTTCCACCTCTCCTGAGCCTTCAGGGTGACTGAAATTTTCCCTTGGGAATCTCCCTGGGATCGCGTCAGGGTGGGAGGAGAGGACAGAGCTTGGTCCCTCGGGAACAAACCAGGACATTTGTGGCTCTTCTATCCTCCCAACTCTCCTTGTGCCTGTCCTTGTGTGTTACTCTCCCACCCAGGGCCCAAACTGGGATAATCCACGGAGAATCCAGGAGAAATTCCTGGTTTTTTGAAGCCTTTCCCTGCCAGTGGCTTCATTCCCTCTTGGGGATGGGGGAAAGGACATTTCTGAGGCCTCCTGGGTGTGCCATGGCAAGTGTTGATGCAGCAAATCCCTTAATTATCCCATCAGGCTTTTCTTTCCCTGGGTTTTGATGGGATTGAGTGTTCAGCAAAGTTGCTTTAATCCCCGGGAAATCCCTGGTGGATTTGGCAGGGTGTGGAATTTTATGGCTCTTTCTGGTCGGGCTGAATGTTCCAGGGAAGTGTGTGAAGGGTCTCTGGAGCCTGATCCCGTGGGAATGGGCTTGGAGCTGGATGAGGATGCTGAGCTCTTCCCCCGGGTGGGATCTGCTCTGGGGGATTGGGGAAAAGAGAAGATCTAGAAGAAATCAACCCTTAGGAGGACTCTGGAATGGTTGAGAGGTTCCAACTCGAGCAGGAAAACAAGGATCAAGGCTTGGAGCAGCTTCTTTGGGAGGAGGAGGAGGAGGAGGATCCCTGCAGGGCTGAGGGATCTGCTCTTCATCATCAGCTGGGCACAGTCATCCTCATCTCCAGGGCAGAGTGGAGACTCCTGGAATCTCCCAGATCAGGTCCTGGCCAAGGAGAGCCACAAGGAGAGCCTCCTGAAGGTGTTTCCTGTCGGTGTTGGATTTGGTAGGAGCTTGGGAATGAGGGAATACCCTGGGATGAGCCTTGGGGGTGGGAAAGGACCTTCTGGCCAACAACTGGAGCTGTGTCAGGATTGGGTTGGAGATGAGGAGAAGGTTCTTCCCCCAGAGGTGTTTGGGCACTGGGACATCTCCCCAGGGCAGAGGTGATACCCCCAACCCTGAAGGAGCTCCAGGAGTGTTTGGACCCTCAGGTCTAGGGTGGGATTTTGGGGTTGGACTGATGATCCTCACGGATCTCTTCTAGCTGAGGACATTCCTGGCAGAGCTTTAGACTCCCTTCCCTGCTCTCCTCACTCAGGCCAAGGCTGTTGTGGTTGGCTCTTCCTTTTCCTGAGGATTTCTCCTCTCCCAGCACCAACATTTGAGCTCTCTGAAGTATTTCCACCCTGGGTTGGAGCTGTGACATCCTGCACTGACCCACCAAGGGACCTTCCTTGGCCTTTGGAGGAACTTCCCTGGGGGTTCCTTAAGGAGGAACCTCCCAACCCCACACATCACCTGGAGCTTCTCTTACCCCTTGGCTCATCCCAGGCCTGAAGAAGTTCCCCAAGCTGAGCCTGTTGGATCTCATCCACCCATGGATGCAACCACAACCTCCAGACTCACCTGCTGCCTCCACTTCCTCTCCCTCCCTTGGACTCCTGCCCGGGTTTGCTCCTCTGCCCAAGCTGGAGGAGATCGAAAACTCTTGAGCTTGTGCTTAAGTGGCTTTTAATTGATCCAGAATAATCCCGACAAGTCTTTGCAGCAGAATCACCTCCTTTTCCGAGTGAATGGTTGGG